CGATCCTTCCAACAGATCGAGCAGAAATACCCACCTCAAGAGCCATTTTTCTCTCGGACCTACGAGGGTGGCGGCGGATTTTCTCTCGAATGATTTTCACGATCTCCTTTGTCGTTGCACTCTTCGGTCTTCCACTTCTAGGCTTGTCCTCCATAGTTCCTGTCGCCTTGTACCTGTTGACGTTGTTGTACACGGTTCTTAAGGGAATCTGGAGCTGCTTGGAGATGGTCTTTGCAGTGCATCCAGCCAGATGGAGGTGCAGGATGGAGGCTCGTTGGTCTTTGCTTGTCACCATTCTGTAAAATGGCATATTTAAGAACGGCCAATTCATGGAATGTATAGAAGAAGACTTGCAGTAAATAGTGGCACAGATCCTGTCGAGATCGAAGGCCTCATTTCTTATGGAGGACCTGAAACGGGATTTTGCCAGATCTTTTGCCGCACCCTGTACGAGTGCGATTGGATTGTTAGGGGCGTTCGCAATCCTTCTATTTTATAAACGCTAACTTGGTGTGTCGGTTTGTATGTATGTATGTATGTGTGTATGTATGTGTGTCCGTCCGCAAAATGAAGTGAGTGATAAGGAAGCTCATGGAATAAACAAACCGCTAACAAATCGGGTAGCTTCGCAGGATTTGAGATATCAATGTTTTGCAATGGATAGTTGTGATAACACTCCAACGGCTATATAAACACCTACTTAGCACACTTCCGGTCATTCCACAAGGTGCTGCAGTGGCAGCTGGAGGAGCAGTGGAGGGAGGAGGGGAGGATAAGGTGAGGTGAAGAATAGCTGCGCTTCGCAAAAAAGGGAGTTGCCGGCAGACCATTCTGGCCATATCAAAAGCAGTGGACACAAGAGCTGAGGGAAGGAGTGAGTTTTGATGACGTCACTGGATTTCATGTGTGAACTAGCCCCTCAGCGCGCTAAGGAACATGGTTGGGACAACTCCCATTGTCCTTCCACCAATGACGTCACCAAAACCACTCCGCCCTCCGTCGTGTTCATTGCTTCAAAAAAGTAGCGTGGGACGGGGACTTGCAAAGGAATATACACTGAACCGCTATAGATGGAACGGTTGATATACTAAAGTGTTAGTAATGTAGTAATCAAGGATTTCGTTTCGTGTTCCCGTGTCAACAGCAGCGATATGACCAAGCGCTGGACGATGAAAGGATTGTAAACGTTTGTAAAATAGAACTGTGATGACGTGGAATCAGAATTGTGAGCTATGAGAATCAGAGAACGACTGTTTTGCCGTGGCTGAGCACAAGATATTTGCTTCCTAAGAATTTATTTGTTACAAGTACTAATAATCAAAAGACAACATTCCACCCTCAGTGAACTCATACACTGTTAATGGGATTCCCCTCTCTGCTGTACAGTCAGTCAGAGACTTAGGTTTTCACTACAACGATAAATTAGATTTCTCGGAGCATATAAAAAGAAGGGTTCAAGCAGCCCATTTACGTACATTTCAAATTTTCAAAGGGTTATCTTTGGCCAATCAAAAAGCATTACTACGTGCATACAAGTCTTACGTAAGGCCATTAGTTGAGTCCAGCACTACAGTATTCAACCCCTTCAAAAAGAAACACATCTACGCAATTGAAAAAGTTTCAAAATAATTTTACACGTAAAACTATTCATTAGAATGGGAGGTTTTCCAGTACTATAATATACCGAACGCGGCTACCAGGAATAATAGTCTCAAACTGACATCTCTTGAATGGAGGCGCAGAGTGTTTGACCTATGTTTTGTTCATAAACTGGTACAGAATTATTATGTGTCTGGATTTTCCAATGTCTTCAAAATGTCATATTCGAGAACTAGAGGTGGATCCATGAAAATATCATTAACGCGACCCAAGAGTAATGTGCGTGCTAAGAACTTCACATATAGAGCCGGTAGTGATTATTTGAATATAGCGAAAAATATACCCGCTTCTTTAACACAAGCACAATTCAAGCGACGAATATCTAATATATTACTCAGAACTAGAGGTTCATAGCATTTTTTGAGACTGATTACCAAAGCTCGTTGTTCTTAAAAATATAGGTGTTTTGTAGTTATTTCTTGTTCAGTTCATGTGATTCATAATGGTGTCAATTATTTCTCACGTGTGCCTTATGCAAACGTAATAAACTTATACTTATTATCTGAGCATAGAAACTTATTCAGTTATAAGATCAGTGATTTCCCAACCTCGAACCATCTCGTCCACAACGGCATGCCATGATCGAAAACTAACGCTGGACCTCTCCAATCAAAAAACCCTGACTTTGCACAAACTCTATCGTGAAGAGCGTATCACACCACATCAAAAAGGCTACGCACTGATCCTCAACAGCAAGCTGAACAAGGTCAAGTATCTTTCCTTCAGTTATAGGAGCGGCACATAGAATACATACGCTCTCATTCGTACCACCTCTCCTTCCCTTCTAGTTTTAATTTTGGACCTGCCTCAGAAAAAGGATGGTTATGAATGTTCCGTCGACCCCTGTCATAAGTGCATTCAGACCAAGTGAAAACATTAGAAAGAGCACGATGGGCATCAGTATCGGTTCTCCGATAGCCTCTTACAACGTGAGCAGGTCAGAGTTGCAACGGTAATGACAATCAGTCGATTAAGCGACGAGGCAGTTACGTGGAAAAAGTGTATATGTGGATCAGGCAATCAGACGAATGAGCGAATAGGCGAGTAGCGGATGAGAAAAGATACGCATCATTTGTTGCACCACCCGTGGGCGATCGCGTACCCACCCAGTCGCCTGATCGATACGTATGGCGCTTTCTTATAGACTAATGCGCACTCGCTTAAATTGCACGTATTATGGACACTCTGTACGCTGCGCTGCCGAATGTTTCACCAGTTACTTCTTCAAATACACCATTCCTTCTGCAAAGCGATTTTCTGAAATGATAGAAAGTGTGTGAATAGGTAAATTAGCTTTAGGGTATGGCGTTTACACTCTACGAACGCTTCTATCTTGGCATTCACGGACTTATCCCACCAGCATTCATGACTGAAGAGCAACAAGTGTATCGAGTCATGAAACGAATTCGCGAGCAGCCTGATAATTTGGCGAAGTAAGTCCAATGTGAGAACCTGAAGAGTAGAACTAGCACGAGATTAAAGGCACACCCCACGGCCAAATAGAGGTGATTTTTGACACAAAAATGAAACCAGGGAAGCGAACTGAACCAGTGGTGTAGGAAAAAGAGGGAGATGGTGTTCAAAATGGCTTACAGATTTTGTGATTTGGACCATGCTAAGGCAACAAGACACCGAGGGCGCAGAGAGGATACTCGAAGGAAAACAGCGGATGAGATAGAGCAGACACGCATGTTGCGAAAGAGGAAAAGTGGAAGCTTATGAAGCGGTTTGGGAAGGCGCTTGCGCCTTCGCTGCGCACTGTCGGAAGAACAGGACATGTGCGACCTTAGCGAAAAACTTTTTCTACTTTTCAAATAGAATCATCTTCCCAAACATCGTTTGGTGTGCCTTTGAGTACTAGCTTGACTTTTCATAGAATAACAATACCTTCATCCCTGGCAAATCTGTTTTTGGGACGATTCCTTCGTGTTACATAAGTAAATCTGAAACTGTCGGGGATGGCTCTCAGTAAGAATCTCGAGCTAAACTAAGAAATTTTTTAAGATACGTTCAACTCGACGAGCTTCAAACACGCAGTCAAAAGCTATTTTATCGTGTGTTATGCTCGAATGTGAAGGAGCTGATGCCGATCGTGTACACACCCACCGTTGGACTAGCCTGCCAGAAATTCGGTGCTATTTATCGTCATCCTAAGTGAGTTGTTCAGAGGTTAAAGCAACAACCCCAGATGGAATTGGTGGGGTAAAAACGATCGATAATGGAATAGTGGATGTCGAATTGACTGAAGAAATCATCACACATCGTCGACAAAGCCCTTAAACGAGGACTCCTCTCTCTTCCCCTCTATATGAGCGCGGGCGTGTCCGGACGAGTTGTCCAATTTCCTTTTTCCATGGCTCCACTAAACCGCGCATATTTGAATTTGCCACTTTGTAGTAATCTACGTTGTGTAAAATAGATGCAAGCGAGGTATCTCGTCCATCAGCTCACATTAGCCATCATTAGCTCACTTTGTAAGGCCCTAGCGCCATTGTCGCGCACTTTCAAGCAGCGACAATGGCGCTGGCGTTATCATATCAACTATCAGAACTGATTGCTCCACACGACTTCATCTGGGGTTGTTGGCTTGAGCTTGACGCATTTACGCCAGTTTAGTGACATAACACTTTAAGAGGAGTTTATATCACCCTTCATGACAACAGTATTAGCAAAATTCACCAGATTTTGACCAATTGGATGGAACCTAAAGTTAAAGTGAGTCCTTTATTCTTCGAATAATCGAATGAATCACTCACTGTGAGTAGAGATCATGAACCGCATTGAAGATGGTGGCCGGATGGTGCAACAAATTGGTCGCTTGCTGGGAACGGGTAGAGCTCTTGTCCCGTTGAATTCCGCGTCAGGCGGGTCTATTTGGGACCAGCAGCCATCGGTGACAGCAAAGGATGGCTTGGCAAAGCCCCCCTTAAAGCAACAGTCCAGGCAGGGTTTCAACTACTTGGTCATTAGGCGGTCAAAACATGCCCCAGCCCAACTAAAGTTTATAGGAAATGTCTTTAAGTTCAAAACCTACCTCTAAAATGCGCTGGAAGGGGTCGAAGTCCTCTTGGAGGGGGCGGATCACCCATACCGAGGCGGATCGCTCAACATACGCTGTGCAGAGTCCGTGCTTGACTAGCGGTCGTTGCGGGACCGCCGCGCTGTATGAGGTCGATTCCATAAGAACGCAATTGAAGCGCTTCAATTTCGATTGCTGGCAAATAGTTATGTATTTGCAAGCATGCATGGCTATTTGCCAGCAGTTGCAATTGGAGCGCATGTACTACGGGCAGGTTCGGACAACTCGTCCAACACACGTCTCCCTAAACGGCAGGGGGAGTCCCTGTCTAAGCCCCTGCCCGACGTTTTTTTCTACTTTTTCTTTCTCCATTGACCAACTTCTCACCTGCAACGTCATTATAGGTGGTCCTTACCCGCGAATTCGTTCCTGGATTGTTGCTTTAAGGGCAACACGTCCCTCTCCTGCAACAGCGGAATGAGTTCGTTATAGATACCAATCCTTCATAATCAATATACACAAAAAAAATTTTTTGCACGTGAACTTAGTCGCATAATCTTCTGTAACTACATATAGAGCACCCCTACTGGGGTAAGAACGGTTAGATCCCCTGTGTAGGATGCTTTGATCATGGTGAAAAAAAAACCGTTGCTGCAAGCATACCCGTACACGGATTCGCAATCGCGAGGAAAGGGATAAAAAAATTTGCCATCGATCAAGCTGAAAGCCCGTGAATGAGTGCCCTGCTAAACCGGAGATCGGGTCATACTTAACAATTCGAGTGTGGAATAGATACGTATTGATCAAGCAAAGTGACCATTCCTGCCTACGGAAGCTTCAGTTTATGTCCGAGAAAAGTCGCATGCAATCGTAGTGCCGCTGTGGTTGTTACGCATTTAATAAACGAAATGTAATACGAAATAACATTTAGTGCATAGTGGTTACCGATGGAGAACGTATACTTGGCCTTGGAGATCTCGGAGCACAAGGAATGGGTATACCGGTCGGCAAATTAGCACTGTATGTAGCGCTGGCTGGTATTCGACCCGAGTACTGCCTCCCAGTCGTCCTCGACGTTGGCACCAACAATCAGGTTTGCTTCGATCTTTTCTGTCACCCAAGAACTTTTTCCTTAACTCAATCTATGCGTTCGTTTCTCATTGGAGATTGAAGTGGAGTAGGCAAACAGAATCACGGTAGCCATGAAGACTTAACTCCCCTCGTCGAAAAGTGGGGGCAGGTGCATTCCTCCTCTTTTGGAGGTCAAACTGCAACTGGATAGTAGGCTTAACTGCTCGAAGGTCCTTTGTTATCTTCTTACTATAGCGGGGACCGTACGCTAAAGAAACCTCAAAACCACAATGCGCTGATCGTGTGGGCGGGTCCCCACTTTCTGCCCCGCACGGATCTCATTTTAGCCATTTCGTCGATATGGAAAAACACGATAAGATACAGTAAACGTGTTAGGGTAAACCAAGGGAAATCTCTCAGGGGCGAGGCGCGGTCCCTCCTTCGGTTGTGCCGAGGCAATGAGAGACTGAGCGAGGAGAGAGAGTGAGGCGAGAGAGCGCAACAGATGAGAGAGCGCCAGACAACAGCAGCCTGGACGGGGAAGCATTGCAGCTGCTGCAGCTTACTTTGCTGAGCCCTAGCGCCTTTGTCAGGTGATTTCCATGCGCATGACTGCCAATTGACTGACTAATTTTTCTCTGAGGTCTCCCTACAGCTAAAGGATTCGTTCACAAGACTCCGGCTTGTGAATGTGCCTTTAAGTTATTCCCGGAAATAAGTACACTTTTTAAGAAATACCTCGAGGATCCATTGTACATCGGGCTCAGACGTAAACGAGTTCGTGGTGAGGAATACGAACGATTGGTTGACAATTTCATGAAAGCCGTAACAAAGAAGTGAGTTCGTATCTCCTATACATTCATAGAGCTGTTATAGCTAGAACGAGTTTGCCGTGAATCGTTTCCGACCTTGCAAACACAAAATTTCAAACGGAAGCTCCTTAGTCTATCTGTTTGTCGGTTTCTCCTTCAGCTCTCTCACGATCGCACTTTCAAACACTCTTACCACTTAAGAAGAAGTAAAAACGATTCAAGATGCAAAGTTTTTGGGGCATCCGACGGAAAACCAATCGTGCGGCGAGAAGGCAGAGACGCACATACGAGTGGTGGATGTGTCGGCAGGGTCAACCGTGCCTTGCTCCAATGTCCAAAAATTCGGCGACCCTCCTTCTAGAGGGATTCGATAGAACCTGTCCCCATCCACCACCATTAGACTAGGGAGGTCCGAATAAGATCACTCTCCTACAAGTACGACCTTCCTCCCAACGCACGGCCCACCCGTGGGGGGGGGGGGAGAGCAAAGGTACTGTTTCCGCCACAGGCAGAGCAAGCCGAAGCTTCGAAAACAATTCGAGATCTTTCTCTGACTCGAGAAAGTGACCACTGCTAACCTTCAGTCCATCCATTCTGGACCATGGAGATGTCGGGATCCTCTTGGCCTGTTGCAGGGAATCTACACTGTCACTGTGTCACTGATTACACAAGGGGCCCTCAATGCAATAAGCCCTCTATGCAATAAAATTCCTCGAAATAGATATAAAATTATAGAGTTGTAGTGGGCCTTCAGCGTTTTCTCGTGTAGTCAGCATTTAGCAGAATTTACAGAGCCATTTTAAGTTCCCACTATATACAATACATACCTTTATCTGAGATCTTTGTATGCTACAGATTTGGTCGCGACACCCTTGTCCAGTTTGAGGACTTTGCGTTTCCGAATGCATTCAAGTTTTTGGACAAGTATCGGGAAGATTATTGCACATTTAACGACGACATTCAAGGTACCATTTGGTTTCTCATGAAGCATTAAAAGCGTAAGA